GGGCAGAAAGGCCACTGTTCTGGTTGGCCGCGAAGAGCGGCTCCTCATTCGAGAGGCTTCAAGGACTGGTTTGTCAGCACGAGGCCTCAAGACCTGCGTGGACATCGAAGCCTCGTTGAGGACATGTCAGCGACGATTGCAGTCGTCGTTAATCATGGTGTACAGCAAGCGAAAGCACATGCCGTTCCTCTTGAAACGGCACAAGGAAGAGAGTTTGGCGTATGCCAAAAAAGATCTGGCCGAGACACCTGCCTGGTCCGACATCATATGGTCGGACGAGAAGCGATTCAACTTGGATGGGCCAGATGGCCTCAAATACTATTGGCATGAAGGAACCAGACACGTTTTTTACGCGTCGAAATGGTGGAGGTGGGGTGAAGGTTTGGGGAGCGTTTTCTTCTTTTGGTTTGTCTAAATTGGCATTCTGGGAATCAAAACTCTGAATCATATTGTGATACGTTGGGAAATTATCTTTTTCCTTTTGCTCATGAATTTTATGGCGAAGATTTTGTTTTTACTTTCTCCGATTCAAAATACTGTTGTGGGCTGATAACATCGTATTTTTATTCAAAAGTCTAATGTTACAACCAACAACACCATGATATGATGAATGAACAACTTGCCTTCTCGGCGGCCTTGCCACGCCGCCAGATGATCGACACCGCTTGCTGGGTCACGCCGTACTCGGCACACAGAGCCTTCATGGAGCCGCGCGGCACTGCACCGTTGGCCTTGAGTTCGCGAAGAGCCTTGTACAATCGTTTTCGCTCGCCGTCGGCGAGCTCACGACCGGTCGTGACACGGCTAGTCATGAGTGTTGTGTAAATCGCTTCTGAAGTGTGCTAAGAATATCTACGAATCAAGACAAGTCGTTTGCGTGAAGAATGAGGCTGATTGGATAAGAATTGACTGATTGGCAGCGGTTTAAAGTTTGACTTCGTATTTTATAAGCTTTGAATGTCGTCGTTCTCGAGTTCTACAGCGAATAAACATAATCTAAAAATTGTTTCGAAGTGGTGAAGCTTCTGGCATCAATTTGAGCCTACTTAGGGCTTCTGGCGACGAATTTTGTCTGAGAAAAGGAAACTGAAGTGAACCCACAACAGTATTTCGAAACGGAGGAAGTATGCAAGATGGAGCATCTATGCATAAGTCGAAGTA